CAGCTCATGTTATGTGTTTGTAAATTTGTTATTTGTAAATAGTAAAAATATAGTTTTAGGAGTTGGGAGAAAAATAAATCTACCTATTAAGGGTAGAGTCGTGTTAAGGGTCCCATCTTGAAAAGGTAAGGGACCTAACAAATGATTTATAAGTAACTGGACTATTTCTCATGAATATTGATATGATATCAGAGTCCAAAAACTCAAACGAGCACCTGGTCAAAAAATGGGATCCGACGACCCAAGATTGATGAATCCAAAAGAGGAACAATCTCGAAGGACATGTTATCCCACGTTGAAAAGATAAGAGACTTAACAAAAATATTGATGACTCGACTTGTAATATCTATACAAATTCAAATAGCGAAGGTAAACGCACCGCTTTGAAGTGTCAAATTGTATTAATAAGAAAGTACTTTTTTTTTTGGGTCAAAAAATGGTCCTTGGCTAAACAAAAAGTTAATGAGAGAGAGAGGGTCACGAGATGGAATTGGCATGGGTTGGAGTTGGATTATATTATTATTGGAGACAGTTTCTGAGAGGATGTTGGGTTAGAGCCATTTCGGGGTAAGATGTCATCAAGGACTCAGATCCAGACAAGTGTACGGTCATTAATGTGATTTAAATTTGGGATACACAATTGGTTGGCCATTGATTCAGCTAATAAGCAAGTGTCCTTAAGATGAAAGGACGAAATACAGCACCTCAGGCCACTCATCACCCATCAACTTTGCCCTGTATTTTCCCCTTGTCTCCACCCTCCATTTCCCTTCTCTATTATTTCCACTTTATTTTCTTCCACATTGTCCATTACCAAACATACTCATCTACTCTACAGTCTCTACTACTCATTTCTCTATCAACTTTTATTCATAGGTTCTAACGTTTTTCAAATTTTTCCAACGCTCAAAATGCCCTTGTTGAGGGTAGTCAAATTTGCCAACGGCCACATGCCAAAGGGAGCTTCATCCTACGTGCCCATGTTGAGCTCCAAATAGTGTCTCAGGTAGATTCATCATCATAAATTTTGTTGTAGAATACCCTCCTTTAGAAGTCAATGCTTCTTTAAACCTCGTAGTATTGTTCTTAATTATGAATAAGACATGTTGATCTAATGAAACTAAAACAGGAGACCTGTGTTCTACGGAAAAAAGAATTAAGTATATAATTGTTTCTTCTAATGATAGCTCTTTTACTAAAATTTTATTTGTATAAAATTCAAACAAAAGAGACTTGAGTAGTTGTGGGTACGTATTATATCTTGTAGTTTTATAATGGAGGTGTTTTCAATTGTGTAATCTTAGATAGTCATTATTAGGTATTTAGAAGCAAAATAGTCATGGTAGATTATATCTTTGCAGTGACTTAGTACCAAGATTTTGTGGCGAACCAATATAAACTCTATGATGTTAAGTTGTTATATCCCTCTCTTATTACGTTTATTATCATTATGTATTTATCTGCTTTTAATCTATCGAAGAGGAAAATTAAATAGGTCATATTTGCCTAACTTACCGGAGGGATTAATATGTGTATATTTTTTTTTCCCAACAAAGCATTGATAACAATAGTATCTTTATGTATGTAAATCTTCGAGCTAGATTAGGTCTACATTTGGACAATTTGCCTAGTAATATTAGACATCAAAAAATTTGTAGAGTTTTAATAACGTAGGTAGATAGTTACCATGAAGTTTTGAACCGATCATACCACTGAAGACTTT